AAATCACATTATATATACACCAAATGAAACTCCTGAAATTTGAGGCCAAGCTCAAGTAAGTTTTATTTTTTAACTTTTAGGCCAGGTTTAGTCAATAATACATATCCAGGCAAAGTCAAGTTTAAAACACGTAAAATTCCGTTTATTAGTTATGACTTCTGATATCTAATCCAGAAAAAAAGTTCTAAGCTAACAGCAACTATTTAAGACTTGCCTGTATTTCATCTTTGGTAAGTAACGAATTATCTTTGATGACATCATCAGTCCTACACCAGAGGTATTCCTGGGAACGTGTATTATAGAAAAACTTGGTGCCGTCTTTTGTACGGTTCATCATCCAGCCACTTCCACATTCCCCAGCAGCCTGCTTCTTCTCCTATTTTCACAAAGACAAGAAAAGTCTTTAAAGTATATAATATATATATATATATATTTTGTTTTTGTTTTTTTTGTTTTTTTTTGAAAATGTAATCACTTAAATTTTTATTTTGTAAGATAACAGATACAATTTTCAGAAAAGGTTTTTAAATTGCACAATCTAGCTTTGACAAGGCAAAAAACTCAAAACAAAACAATATGAGCCGCGTCACAACAAAAACAACATAGTGCGTTTGCGACCAGCATGGATCCAGACCAGCTTGCTCATCCGCGCAGTCTGATCAGGATCCATGCTGTTCGCTATCAGTTTCTCCACTTGTAAAAGGGTTGGTAAGCGAACAGCATGGAACCTGATCTGGATCCATGCTGGTCGCAAACGCACTATGTTGGTTTTGTCGTGACACGGCTCATATGTTCATTTCTATTTTACTCTTTTTAAACATTTACATGGATTTTAAGAAAACTTTTCTGCATCTCTTCCTTCAATAAGGTAAAAAGACCAAAGTTGCATCCTATTTAAAGCCAAATTAAAACAAGACCTATTGTTGGAAACAGACAACGCTAGAATTCTGGTCTAAGAGTAGGCTAGTAAAATGGCTGAGGATTCACTACTATCCACTCACTAGAATGTAAATCGTTGAGCAACGACATTGATAAGTATTGCACACATCTGAAAGCTGGGGACTTAATTCTTTTTTTCTTTTTTTTTTTAATTCTTGCACACAACACAGCTTTATCATTTCCAACATAGTTATGTAAAGCAATTTTAAAATCTAACCTGAAATGACAGATACGTATGTTGATGGGACATTATCATCAACACATATTGTGAAAAACTCCTATAAATACCAATATTTTATATATTTATTCTTTAAGCAGGACTGTTCTCAAGTACCTTTTCTTTATGTAGTTCCTCCAGATAGGTGTGGGCACAGTCTGCACTCACATTATTCATTCCAACACTAGGTAAGGCAAGACCAGCTATCAAAGCCTCATGGTCGTCTGCATCTATAGCATCATTGATACTAGCCAAACCAGACAACACTGTTGTGAAAAAAAAACAACAAAAGTTTTATAGTCAGTAAACAGTCTACTACACTTGTTTTCTAAGTTTTTTAAAATTGTATTTCAGTCAAATATTGACCAGGCAGAATGTTGACACTGTGGTGAAAAAAAATTACAAACTCTATAACAGGGTATGGCATGCTTTGTTTTCTTAGGAGTAACTCCAGTTTCTTATATAAGTATTACAGTCTAACACTGAGACTGGATTTACACTTAAGGCAGCTTGCTACTTTCTGACCGAAATTTGTCAACATTTCCGATTTAAACAAGCCATTTTATCAATAAAAAAGTTGCAATCCCGCCGCCATACCAACGTTTTTCCTTTACAAAATAATGCCGCAAAAGTAAAGCTTACATATCTACATGTTTGCATACCAAAAATAATCAAGATCTGAGATGTTGTCAAATTTTGGTCGGAAAGTAGCGAGCTACCTTAATATGAATGGCCTTGAACCCTGTACAAATACTTAAAATGGTCAATCGTCAAGAAACTGCCAACTTTTCAAAACAAAGTATTTATAACAATGGCATACTTTATTTAAGCAGTACAACAATAATCAGATCATCATATAAAATACGAGATATCATATCATATATGCATTGTCTCAAGGACTCTACCTCTTAAATCCAAGGTCCATTAACTTACAATCTCATCACCAAACTAATTAGGCGTGTATCTCTCACCTTAAACTTACTGGTATTAAACTGATTCTTTAAAAAGAATTGCATGATAAATATTTTACACAAGACAGTAATCAATATATCTCAGTTGTTTTAAAGAAACTCCACTGAGGTCCAAAACCCTAGAAACACAAAGATTGAATTTCATACATAGACCAGCTGGGGAATTTAAAAAAGAAAGATATGTAAAAGATATTACAGAAATATACTCAGAAATAAATTGTAAATTGTATTTCTGTGTTATTCTTAGCTTGATTTGAGTGAAAAGCTTTGCAACGCTTTTCAATTTTGGATCACTTAATACAATAATAATAGTTATTCTGGAAAACAGAGGGAGGGAATGATCTGAAATTTTGCACATAAGTTAACTGTCTATACCTATATAATATCAAATGAAATATTAATCTCAAGAATTATTACCAGTCCTATCTTGTCAAAAACCTAATTGGTGTCCCTTTAATATCTGTCAAAATGTTATAAACACTGTAAACTTGATTTGTATAATACATTAATTATAGGGTTTAGTAAAACAACAGATGTCACTAATAAGTACAATCAAGGCTATACTTCTATATTTTAATTTATACCCTACCTCCATTTGTTATAAAATTATGCATATTAAAGTTAAATTTCTATTAAGCATGTCAATTTTCTCTCTTATTATCAATATTTTATTTCTTAATTATTATTAATAGGTCTTTCTTATCAATATTTATTGGCCTTTCTTTATAGTAGGTCTTCAATTTTCATAACTCTTTCTTAATCAATTTTAATGGTTCTGTCCTAATCAATATTAATTGGTCTTTCTTAACCAATATTAATAATTCTTTCATAATCAATATTTAAAGTTCTTAGTGACCTACATTCCAATCCCTCTTTGGCATCTTGGTTGCTTTTGTCAATGGAAGCTTGAATTTCATCTAGCCACAACTCTGCACTATCATCTCCATGTTTCTGTAAAATATCATTACAAAGTAAAACAAGAGGGCCATGATGGCCCTGAGGTCGCTCACCTGTATATACATATATATGTTTTTACTATATGCATATAGGGAAAATCAATGACCCCCTGGGGCGGGGCCAGTTTTGACCCCAGGGCTTTTATTTGAACAAACTTGGTAGACACTCACTAGAAGATGTTTCATGCCAAATATCTTAGCTCTAGCTTTTTGGGTTCTTTAAAAGAAGATTTTTTAAGTTTTTACTATATGCATATAGGAAAAATCTATGACCCCCTGGGGCAGGGCCAATTTTGACCCCAGGGCTTTTATTTGAACAAACTTGGTAGACACTCATTACAAGATGTTTCATGCTAAATATCTTAGCTCTAGCTCTTTGGGTTCTTTAAAAGAAGATTTTTTAAGTTTTTACTATATGCATATAGGGAAAATCAATGACCCCCTGGGGCGGGGCCTATTTTGACCCCAGGGCTTTTATTTGAACAAACTTGGTAGACACTCACTAGAAGATGTTTCATGCCAAATATCTTAGCTCTAGCTTTTTGGGTTCTTTAAAAGAAGATTTTTTAAGTTTTTACTATATGCATATAGGGAAAATCAATGACCCCCTGGGGCGGGGCCAATTTTGACCCCAGGGCTTTTATTTGAACAAACTTGGTAGACACTCACTAGAAGATGTTTCATGCCAAATATCTAAGCTCTAGCTCTTAGGGTTGTTTAAAAGAAGATATTTAAAGATTTTTCTTTCGGTTGCCATGGCAACCAGAGTTCTGCATGGAATTAAATTCTTTGAACAATTTTTAAAGGTGACACCCAAAGGAACATTCCTGTGAAGTTTGGATGAAATTGGCTCAGTGGTTTATGAGGAGATGTCATTTAAAGCAAAAGTTTACGGACGGACGACGGACGGACGCCGGACGAAAAGCGATCACAAAAGCTCACCCTGTCACTTTGTGACAGGTGAGCTAAAAAGACCCATGAATGAATATATCACAAGCACAAGCCTTAAGGAAATAAAACAAGATATACCTCAGCCTATATAGCAAACTATGTGCAGGCATTTAACAGATATATACTTCAGCTTATTTAGCAAATTATGTATAGGGATGTAACAGATATGTACCTCAGCCTTTTCCTTCTTCTTACGTATGAGAGACACCTGGTAGCTGTAAGCTTGTTTGTCCTCCACATTTTCTAGCTTAGCTTCTGGTAACTTCAACATCTCTAATGTCTCCTCGGGGTTGCCTTTCTCTATATATTCATTAATCTTTGATAATGCTAGGATTCCTGACAATAGAATAAAACATAATATGTGAATAAAATGACTTTACAATTTACTTTTTACATTTATTTTAATATTATATGTGTATTTACATCACAGGATTGTTGAGTTCTTTCATGCAAGCTTGACAGCCTTGGGAAAGTTAGTGACCTCACCAAGAAGTCTACAAGTGCTTATAATAGTAATAATAATAATAATAATAAAGCATAGATATGCACCAATGGTCTTCCTCCCCCAGTAATTCTGTTCAAATTTGACAACCTATGTGGAACTAACCAAACCAAATATCTCTCCATTATGACAACATTGTTCTGTGTAATGTAATTTTTTAGAATCTAAAATATGGAACTTAAACTGTGTGAATGGTCCATGCTTATACTGCTATTAATATGATAAGAAAAACATCAAAACCAATACTGTTCTCATTAACCAGCAGTTTAAAGTACAGATTTCTTGGAGTATATAAATCAGAAGAAAAATCCACAGGATCAAATGGTTTCTTCTATTGTAATATACAATATGCAAGGTATAGGTGCAACATTGGAATTTTCACCTATTTTATTTTTACAAAACTTACTAAGGTGTTCCTCTTCAACTTGAGCATTAACTTGTTCTACAACTTCTGTTATCTCAGCATGGGTTAACAGATCACATGATTCCTTAAATATAAACAGTTTAAGTATTTTTAATTGACAATGCTTAAACCTTGTTTCCTTAGAATCTAATTCAGCATTATATCTTTGTGGTCAAATCAATTTAAGACCCCTCAAAAAGCATTACAATACATTTTAGATAATTAAGCAATGCTTAAATCAAAAAGATCTCTTGAAAATTAACAGGACATTTTAAATCATAAAACATTAAAGCTAGTTCCCGAGAGATAATTTACCCTTTGAAAATGCAATGTCATTTGTAACCTTACAGCTTCTCACTTACACCTGTAAGTCAATTTAACAACAATCCAGTACAAAAAATGTTTAAAAGCTATGGGATAAATAAGTAAATCAACAGTTATACCCCTTGCTTGCCAGTTTTGACATTTTCTAAGGCAGACTGGTATCTATCAGCATTTTCTTCATCCAGATTTTCTATACATGCTGTCTCAACTGACAATGCTGCAAAAGTACCCTCTGTATTTCCTGTGTCCACACATCTATTTATAGAAGCTATTGCTGATAAAACTGAAATATCAATAATTTATTCTTTATAATCATTATAGTGGAACTTGATGATATGTATTAATAATAACTTGTCCGTAATAACAAATTTCTCCACAACTGACCAACTACTAATCCCGCAAGAATTCTTAATCCACGGTCAGAGACAAATGACCTAGGACTCAATGTGACTGCCTCCTAAAAGAATCAAACTAGCGAGCAGTGGATTACAAATCTGATGATCATCTTATTTAGCTAAGCAGGTGTGCTAAATAAATCAAGAGTATAATATCAGGAAATATTAAGAATGTAGTGACAAAATAAAAGCTACACCTGGCAATATAAACTTTTTAAATCAAATTTAAGAGGAGACAAATTATTCTAATATACAATGCAACCATTAGCATACAGGATTATGGAGCAAGGTGGAATAGTGATTTTAGCCAAGGAATCATTTGTTCACTCTAATAAGGCCCGCACCAAGCTTCCTCATAAAACAACAATATGAACCTTTCCAGATTTTAGCAGTAGTAAAGTAAATTGCAAAGGTCAACTGCTCAAAAACCATATCACAAACAAAACCGTGTGTTATTTTTGTGCAAAACCGGTCAATCATTAACTATGTATTATTTTCTGCGTAGCAATTGGATAGCCCGTCAGCTAATTTGCATAAAACTGTAAGACACTGGAAAGGTTCATTAGTATGTTTCAAGTGACTCTAATGTATTTAAAATATCTGTTAGCAACAAACACATTCAATCTGAAATATATATGTTTTAAATTGATTAAATTACCTCCTACTGCTGCGTAAATCTCATCATAATCTAGTTGTTCCTCATGTTCTTTTTCCTCTCGCATGCTACAGAACTCCTCCATATACAAACTACCAGCAAAGTCATGAACCTGTGGTAACTGTGAACGTGGGTGCTGTAATGTTTTCATCAACAGGTCACGATCTTTGGTCTCGATGGCTTGATTCACTGACACAACAGCCAAGGACTCTGTCAATGCAAATGTAAAGATACTGATGTAATGGACATTGATCACTTAAATAGATATTATATTACTACCTTTCATTTGTTTATTATGATGATTACTTGCTCTAACATTACGCAACATGACTCTGTTATTTGGTGGCTAAGCCCATTACTTACTCTAGCAATAGGCAATATTATTACCGAATATTTGGTTGCTATGCCCTTTACTTACTCTGTCATTAATATTACTACCTCTTATGAGGTAACTGCTGATTAATCATTCTAGCGAAAAGGGAGCATTACTACCCCTTATTAGATACCAATGCCAATTACTTACTCTTGCAATAAGCAATATTAATACCTGTTACACATGTATTTGGTAGTAATGCCAATTATTTACTCTGGCATTCATCAACATTACAGTCAATTGTTGAGAAAGTTGTCTCATTTCTTACTCCATATTACTACCAGTTGTTTAGAAATTTATCAGATTACTTACTCTGATATTCAGCATCTGCCTCTAGATTAGCTGTGTTAACTGCTTGTTGAATGTCTTCCTTGTCGAGGGGAACATCTTCACCATTATTGTTATTCTAAATGACATAAAAAATACATCTAAATTAGTACAACCTTCTTTTGTAATTCTTTTTCTCTCAAATAATTAAATAATTATTTAATCTATCTGCCAGATATACTTTTGCTTTCACACATAATTAAAGTTTTGTGAAAAGATGTTATATAAAAAGAAACTGTATATAAAGTAAGACTTGATATCTTTAAATACAACTAGATGCTACCAGTCAAATATCTAAGTTCTATTGTTTAAGCCTATACAAGTCTATATTATATGTTACATAAGTGACGCTCAGAGAGAGACCCCATGGGCATGACTATACATATTAAAATTTTGAATAAAATTTTGAATATAACCTCAGAGTGATGCTATAAGCTTATATATATATATATATATATATATATATATATATATATATATATATATATATATAAGCCCTATGTATTGTAATTTCTGAAACGAATTTTTTCTTCACATCACCTTTCATTTTTATTTTTAGCTCCTGCGACCAACTTTTACATCAGACTTGGACTATCTATCACCTTAGAATCAATCCTGTGAAGTTTGGTCAAAATCTACCACAAGGTCAAGAAGGTGATGTTTTTTTTTAAAGAAATTGTACGTAACTACAGACTACACATGACCGACATCATGCTATGATAAAATTTCACTTCTTAGCACTAAAAACATGACAGTAAAATGTGTTGTAAAAGTAATTAAGACAAGAAAGATTAATACCTTTTTGACTTGTCTGGTTTCCTGAAGCTGTACAACATAGTGATCAATATTTTCATCTTTGATGTTCTTGATACCAAGATGTGATGACTTCAACCATTTCAAAATGAATTCCTTATCCTCCTTTAATAAGGCTGAATTCAATTCATTCAATGTGTGCGTTGCTGAAAAAATGCAAGAATAGATTATAAGAACAGTTTTTGCGTGCTGCCAGAAAGTACTGCTGTTTCCAAAACACTTCCCCTGAATTCCTAGCAAATATTATAGGAAGATAACAGAATATTTAGCCTTAATATTGCTCAATATAATAATATTATACATGTATGATGCAATGTCCTTGACATGCCCTGAATTTGAGACAATAGTTTGTAATTTTTAGAGGTTAAATTATTGAATAATTAAGCAGCAACAAAATTTAGACTCTGGCCTGACTGAAAAGATATGCTTGCTGACCTACATGTGTATATCTATATTGGTGACACAGGCAGGATATTATTGCTGTCTAATGTCATCATCAGACGTTATAATTGGAAAAACTGAGCCGCAAAAGTAAAACAATCTGGTTAAAATGTACAGAATTTAGGCAGTTCTGCATAGCTATTATTCTAAGGTTAGTCTTACAGCAATATATTATATATGTGTAGAATATCAATAATTCAATTTCAGACTAAAGGCTTTACTAAATAACTTTAATCATTTTCAATCTGACACTAGAAAAGTTTGGTATTAATGTGCTAAATTTGAAATCTAAGCCAACAAATAGATTGCAGAGAAATTCATGACTGCTTTCCTACCTCAAGCTCTATTAACTTACCGACAGTAACGGAGCTTGAAAAACCTAAAATGAACTATAATTGCTTAACAACATATTCCAATGCAGATATTCCACCGAAACAAGCAGGTTTGTTAAGTTTATAATTTTATATCCCCAACAGTATGATACAAATCACTTGATGCTGCTTGGTATTGAAATACATCAGAATACAAGTGACAAGAGATATTGGTAGGTCAGCTTGCTCCACAATTCTCAGTGCTTGATAGGAAAACAAGGGCCTGGATATTGTAGAATTTTAAAGTTCAAAAAGGGCAAAAATCCATGTTAGAGTTATAGGCCTTGTACAGTGACCTCCATCCTATGATGCTCCTACATATGTGTGTGAAGTTTCAATCAATTCACTTCAGTAGTGTTAAAGATACAAACTTGCATGTGAATACTTAACCAAAGTGTGATTCTGATGCTAGGGTTGGTACAATAACTCTCCCTATTCTTCGATTAGTCGTGTATAATTTATAAACTGTATTTGGATTGACAAGAGTTTTTCTTCCATACCCCCTTTCCTACCTTATTAGCAACATAATAACTAGGGAATATATAAACAATTAGGTAAACTCACTATTGACTAGATTCAAGTTCCCCTGTATTTCAGCTTGTGTTAACATTTCATCATAAACATCAAACTCTTTTGTGCTATCCCCCTCTCCTCCTCGCTGAAAAGTAATATTTTAGTTTATACTAATTTATTTTAGTTTGTCTTAAAAGCTATAAGCTTACTGAAACACCTTTGAATCCGTTCCTGGAACCAACCAGTACTAAGCAATGAGTGTAAAGTTTCTTGCTCAAGGAAACAATGGCTAGCCACAGGCGGGGCTACAACCCACACGGCCAGCAAGAGAAGCACACTGAAGGAATAGTTTAAGCCTACTTTAGTCCCCACCAATATTCACTAATCTAACTAGAACTATCACTAAATGTGATTAATACCCCCACAAGACTGCTTCTGAAATGAGGATGTTACTTGTAACAGAATACCTTGTAAAAGAATTGAAATATAGAGTTATGGTTGTGGGCAATTAAAGATAATTGTGGTTCTTATATGTTGCATTTCCTTTCAATGTGGTTGGCCATTGATGAAGTTTAATTGAATTACTCTGTAATAAGTCCAGAAAGACAAAGAAAAGGAACAAAGGGCAATAACTCTATAAATACTGAAGATAGAGTTATAGTTCTTGTGCACTGCACTTTCTCTTATTGTGCTTGACCATTGTATGAAGTTGTTTTGAATTCCAACCAGTATGTTTTAAGTTATGCTCCTGACAAGGAAAAGCATCAAAGGGCAGTAACTCTGTATTTTGTCAAAATGGAGTTATGGCTCTTGTGCACTGCACTTCCTTTTAATGTCCTTGACAACTGTATGAAGTTGTATTGAATTCCAAACAGTAGTTTTCAAGTTATGCTCTGGACAAGGAAAAGTAACAAAGGGCAATAACTCTGTAATTAGTCAAGATGGAGTTATGGTTCTTGTGCACTGCACTTTCTCTCAATGTGCTTGACCATTGTATGAAGTTATATTGAATTCCAACCATTAGTCTTCAAGTTATGGTCCGGACAAAAAAGGCAATGGAAAAGCAACAAAGGGCAATAACTCTGTAATTACTTTAGATAGAGTTATGGTTCTTGTGCACTGCACTACCCCTTATTGTGTTTGACAATTGTATGAAGTTGTTTTGAATTCCAACCAGTAGTTTTCAAGTTATGCCCCGGACAAGGAAAAGTAACAAAGGGCAATAACTCTGTAATTAGTCAAGATAGAGTTATGGTTCTTACGCACTGCACTTCCTCTCAATGTGCTTGACCATTATATATAGTTATATTAAATTCAAACTATTAGTCTTAAAGTTATGGTCCGGACAAAAAAAGCAATGGAAAAGCAACAAAGGGCAATAACTCTGTAATTACTTTAGATAGAGTTATGGTTCTTGTGCACTGCACTTTCCCTTATTGTGTTTGGCAATTGTATGAAGTTGTTTTGAATTCCAACCAGTAGTTTTCAAGTTATGCCCCGGACAAGGAAAAGTAACAAAGGGCAATAACTCTGTAATTTAGTCAAGATAGAGTTATGGTTCTTGTGCACTGCACTTCCTCTCAATGTTGCTTGACCATTGTATGTAGTTATATTGAATTCAAACATTTAGTCTTCAAGTTATGGTCCGGACAAAAAAAGCAATGGAAAAGCAACAAAGGGCAATAACTCTGTAATTACTTTAGGTAGAGTTATGTTTCTTGTGCACTGCACTTCCCCTTATTGTGTTTGACAATTGTATGAAGTTGTTTTGAATTCCAACCAGTAGTTTTCAAGTTATGCCCGGACAAGGAAAAGTAACAAAGGGGCAATAACTCTGTAATTAGTCAAGATAGAGTTATGGTTCTTGTGCACTGCACTTCCTCTCAATGTGCTTGACCATTGTATGTAGTTATATTGAATTCCAACCATTAGTCTTCAAGTTATGCTCCGGACAAGGAAAATGCAACGGACGTCTGGACCGACCGACCGACCGCCCGACCGACCGACCGACCACCGGGTGACTCCTATATACCCCCCCAAACTTCGTTTTTGGGGGTATAAAAACCAAGTTTACCAACCTGCTTAAATCATCACCTAAGTGTAGTAATGGGTTAACTCCTATTAAATTTTATAAGAAGTTAACACATTACTGCACTTAAGTGACAAAATATCATTTTGATGATTCAAACATTAAAGCACTTTGACTTACTGTTGTCAGTATTGCTCAAAGACTTGTCAAAGTGTATTTCTCCCTAAATAATTAATCATGACAATTATGAATTCATTATTCAAAGTAAAATCTATGTTTCTACCTATTCTATGAAATTTTGGAATCTTTGAATAATTTTCATTCATTACATCAATCTAACTTTTAAAACAGTCATTATATATTTATTTCCATTCACTTGCAAAAAAATTAAAAAAAAATACACATGACCTTTTTTCAGTGTTGTTTTTCAGAATTATGTGGATGCTCACATTCAAACAACATACAAATTCATTACTTTAATACCTTATTTTTGGCATTTTCTGTCTTTGTTTGTTTGGCGTTATAAAGGTCAGCGGAATAATTCTCGGCAAGAACACCATCAATCCCGACAAGATTTGCTGAAGGGTTGCCAAGAGCCGCCATAATGTCTGCAGTGACTTGAGTCTCAATAGCTTCGTTGATGGCAATAATAGCTGCGTGTACTAAACAAAACAGAAACAATTTGAACAACCCTCTATATCAATACATGTAATTTAGCAGAAACTTAAAACAAATTTAAATATATTCCTTACTTATGTAATGAACAAGAGCGATCAGTAATCACATGTGTCGCCTCATGATGGCCAATTTCATGTTGGGACAAATTTTGTGACAGACGGACAGACAGACAGACAGTGCACAACTAGACTTGGTACTGATCATTCCTGTAAAGTTTGGATAAAATTGCACCAGTAGTTTATGAGGAGTAGTCCGGACAAGCTTTTGTGTATCTGGCAACACACAGAAAAAAACACCTTTTTATCAAACGGCCATAACTCAGCCAAAAATCATTCAACCGGGAAAACCCGTGCGATATGCGCAAGGACTTGAGCTACAGATCAATCCTGTAAAGTTTCATTGAAAATTGCATTAGTGGTATAAGAGAATTAGTCCGGACAAACTTTAAAAAAAAAAATTATTTAAAGGGCCATAACTCAAACAAAAATCATTGAACCGGAAAATGCTGACAATATGCACAACTAGACTTGGTACTGATCATTCCTGTAAAGTTTGGATGAAATTGCACCTGTAGTTTATGAGGAGTAGTCCGGACAAGCTTTTGTGTATCTGGCAACACACAGAAAAAAGAAACCTTTTTATCAAAGGGCCATAACTCGGCCAAAAATCATTTAACCGGAAAACCCTTGCAATATGCGCAAGGACTTGAGCTACAGATCAATCCTGTAAAGTTCATTGAAAATTGCATTAGTGGTATAAGAGAAGTATCCGGACAAACTTTAAATTAAAAATTATTAAAGGCCATAACTCTGACAAAAATCATTGAACCGGAAAAATTCTGACAATATGCACAACTAGACTTGGTACTGATCATTCCTGTAAAGTTTGGATGAAATTGCACCAGTAGTTTAAGAGGAGTAGTCTGGACAAGTTTTGTGACGGACGGACGGACGGACAGACAGACGGACAGACAGACGACGGAGAAGTGATCCCTATATGTCGCCACTACTCCGTAGAGGCGACACAATAACAGTAATAACCTAAATACACTTTCTCAATACTTTTATACATGTTTATAACAGGAACAATTTGTAATTTTAGTGGGTAATTAAACCTGATGTTTTCATTGTAAGAATAATTTTCAAAAGCAGTGAAGAGTTTTGCCTTTTTTCCCCCCGTCTTATATGACAAAACAGTAACAATATACTTACATGCTGCATCGTCTTGACTTAGCTGAAAAAAATAAAATAAAATTTACTTTTCAGTATCCCTCATTTTAATAAATGACCAGAAATTTGCAAGCTGTTGCACAACATTACACTCTTTCACCCTGTTTATTTATTTTAATTTGTATAATGAACATGGATGTGTCTTAGATTGAGTATGTTTCCATTTTTTTTTTACATAACTTTCAAAGATTTAAATACCAAGACATAGAAACTGAGCAGGCAACAGAATAGAGCCTATGATGATTGAGGACGAGAAGAATTTTTTCGCTGATTATTATTTTTTTTTTTTTAGAAGAATTTTTTTTTCTTTTTCTTTTTTTTTTTTAAAGAAACACTGCTTGACTGGCTTTTTTTATATTAAACATGATTGTGCAATACATAATAAAAAGTTATTGTATTATACTGCAAAATCAATATTATTCGTGGGGAACTCATTTCTGAGGTTTTCAAGAATTCACAAATTAAAAATCCAATGAAATTTCATTTCGTCTGCTGTAAGATTATTTTGCATTTACATCATTCCATTTCACTTTATGCAAAAATAGACAATTCAAGAAATTTAAGAACCCACAAAAATGTCCTTTGTGACAAATCCGCTAAATTTTATGCTCGTGAAATTAAGTGAATTCACAGTAATATATGAAAGAAGCAGTCATGAGATGCTTTATGCATATATTCCTATCACCAATTCACATTTAAACATGATGTATGAAAGCAGCTAATGGGCTACACATTAAAAACCTGGTTTATTACACCACCTTGTTCTCAAGTTTCTTACACCTGCCACTGACAGCAGTAATAAATTGAAACAATTGATCAATAAAACATGATAATATTACCCATATTGAAAATCGAATGATGCAGTGCGACACCTTGCATTGAATGTCTCTATATAATGAAGATTCTCATTTAATACCACATACTGTTTGTACATACAACTCTGTTATTACATGTCTTCCTATATGCAGTTACGAAAGTGAAAAATTCAACCCTTATCCTCCTAAATTTGGTGAAATGGACTTGCCCTGCTCTCAGTTATAGACGGCCCAATGTTAATGTGAGGAGTCTGTTATCAAAAATTATGTAGCAGAAGGCTACACAATGAATCCTGCAACAGTTTAGTGTCCTATCAGACTGCTATAATGTACAGTTTGGTTTGCATACCCTGACTATTTTTTGGCCTAACTCTTTATTTCTGGCCATAATTAATTACTACAATACTACAATTGAGTCTGCTTCAGTTTAGTGTCATGTCAGCCTGTACAAATGTCCAGCTTGGTCTTAGTATATTTCTGGCCTGGCTCTGTATTTCAACCTGGCTCCATATTTGACACACAGGAGTGACTATGGCAGCAAGTACATATGGAATATTTTAGTTACCTCATTAGCAAGGATTCCTCCAATCTTGCTGAATGTTGGCATCTGATACCAATTTGTCTATTCCTTCTCATTGCATATCTTTTCCCTCTGAAATTTAAAATCAAAGCTAACAAACCTTTTACTTGCTTTTTTTCATTAAGTTTTTGCCCAGCATTAAATTTTTAACACCATCAATTTTTTTTTTTAAAAAACATTTTTTCAACAGTATATATCCTGGGCCAGACTGCACATATGTGCTGATTGGCGTGGCTCAATTCTGGTGACAAAGGCTAAGAGATAATAAACACCTCTCTTTAAAATTTTTACAAACTCAGTCACATACACATAGGGGAGTGGTAGGGTAGGGGTTGTTTTGGGTTTTTTACATTTTTTTTTTTAATGACTACCCTTAACTTACAAGTCATGAAACCACAGAAATTGAGATGAAAAATATTTTCATTAACAGCTGTATTATAAAATTTTTATAGCCAGTATGAACTTTGTATATCATTTGCAAAAAGACTGTTTTACCAATGGAAACTGGTCCATTTACCTGAACAATCTAAAGAAGGAACAACATATTTTCACACATACAGATCACTCCCAGACCTTTTAAGTATGGTAAGCTCCCTCTCTAAATTTTCACACAAAATATTATGGAAAAAAATATATCTTGCTATATCTTGCTATTCATCATGAGACAAAAGTAGTATCATTAAAATCTGACCTACAATGTACTCTTTGACATCTAGATTTTAACTACATTGTTTTTTAAGTACATAAAACTTAAATTAGGAAGTGATTATTCACATGTAAAATGATTAAAATATACAATATTTCATGAACAGGAAGGTAAAGATTATCTATAATGCTATCTATATAATAATCTCATAAAAAAAACACTACATCAACATTTGTTTTTATTAACTTCCTAATAAACTATTGCATTGTCATCAACATGTAATAGTTATAGTATACAAGGGAAGAGTTGAAATATAACACAGTCATTGCATGTTTAGTACCATCATTTGGTGTTAAAAGGTCAGGGGCAGTCAAAAGCAATTGCCTGTATTGCCCAGGTTGTCCTACAGCTTGTAAGAACATGTGGAAATTTTCAAGAATTTACTATATAAATATCATATGGCAGGGATTTTTTTACCTCATTTTATGGCCGATATTCGGTCATATTCCCAATGAAAATAGAAAATTATTTTCCCAATCCTCAGGAAAATATTCAAAATAAAAATATTTTATAACAAATTCTTAAATCTTTGAAAATAAGAGCTCTTCACTGTTAATTTAAGTCATGCATTTTTTCCTCATTTTTAACAAAACATCCCTGAAATTCCCAATTCCATAGGTATGGGTCATGTCTCCAAAATCCTGGAAAAAAATCCTGTACGGACAAGTTAAGAAAAGTCTCAGAGAAAAAAGGACTAGTACATAAAAATCAGATTTTGCCAGCCCTGAAAGGTATTGCCTGGAAACCGAAGTTAAATAACCCTTTACCATGCTAAACAAGACAATCAAATATACCAATCATATGTCCAGCGTAAATTTGAATAGAAAACCTTGTTAGAAATTAAAAACAAATCAACTACTTTTACTGCTTTACATTATTTTCAATATTTCTGACAAAACGTACACAGAATCTAATCAACTATCCCGAGGATTTCTCGATAATCAAAGATGAAAAACGGGACAAAAAACAGAGTTATAAGCATTAGGCAGCCTATGGAAAGATGAGATATTAAAACACCAGTTTCCCTCTGCAATTACATGATTAATGTACATTAAATATATGACATGGGGGAGGAAAATAATCCCTTAAGATATTTTCATCAGAAATTGTGGGGAAAGTGCATAATTTCAATGCAAGAAAATATTTTGGTTTGACCAGAATAATACCATAAAATATGATGTGATGCCAATAGAATATATGACATTTTTATATAATTTTTGTATTATGATGTGCATTTAGATTTCCCTGAATTCCAATGTTACAATTGTTCAAGGCAATGTTATGTTCAAGGCAATGTTATGTCAAAAATAGTCATTCAAGGCAATGTTATGTCAAAAACAATCGTTCAAGGCAGTGCTATGTCCAAAAGAATCATTCAAGGCAATGCTATGTCAAAATACAGAAAGATATCTTTATTCTTAACTTCAAATACCACCGTAACTTAGAGTGACTTTGCAATATTGAAAATAGAAACTTTGCGGCTGCAGAAATATTAATTGCAAACTGCCATGCTATCAATTTGGTATTAAATGCAGATTTTACAAAGCTCTAATGTTAAGCCATTTTATGCATCAAACTGGTTATAAAAAGATTTCCCAGCTTCCACAAAGTCTTAATCATCATGTTTAGTCTAATCAAAATCTGCTGAATTTCTATAAATAATTCTTTCTTGTCGTCTGCAAAACTTCCTTAGATTAAATTAACATGGTCTAACATGGTCTGAATTAAGGAATTTTATTCCGACACATCAATTATATCAATCAAGTTAACTAGAAAATTGGATATCAAGTTTTTTCTTATTTTGAAGTATTCACGTGATTGAACACTTCTTAATACGAAAATTTGATTGGATAACTTGAGACATATCAATATAAGAAGAAAACATGTCCTTATTACTATCAAAACCAGGAACAGTTTTAGTTATGTGAATCACTTGTCAAAATGATCACGATTTTCTCTTCTTTAAAACTCATAAGTTTAAATTACAACTCTTCAATCAATTGAACCTACTTGTTTACACTTACATGTATGATATGTAATTCTTCCTCTCTTTAAACCATTATCCAGCTGGATTTATAAAATAGACTTTCCCAGCATTGAATTACCAATGTTTAACCCCTAACCTAACCTGCTTAATTTCTTAAATGGACTTGCCCAGCCAGAGTTCAATTTTTTAAATCAATTTTGGCTATATCAAGACAGGAAGAGGGTCAGTCAACAGTACAGAGCCATGCGAGACTGCAGAATCTGTCACTAAATGTGTTAGAACTCTATGTCTTAACATAACACAGTCTATAAGCAGTCTATATTTTAACTTATTGTTAAAAACTTAAGAAATGCTTTTTTTGTTTCATGAATTTTAATTCATTTCATGTACATGTATATTATTGTTAACTGTGCTGTAATCTATGATTACAGAAAATGAAAATAAACAAAAATTAAGAGGTTTCTATATAAAAGCCTCAATGATGCAAGTAACAGAATTATAAAAGCTTGTCAGACTGTGTGGAGGTGCATGCTGGCCTGGTTCTATTCCAAGGTTATATAGGCAGGTCATATAGGCAAGAAATGTAGGTAAGGTCATATAGGCAGGTCATACAAGTAGGTCTTATTGTCAGGTCATATAGTCAAGTCATATAGGCTGGTTATATATGCAAGTCATATAGAAAGGGTGATATAAGCAGGTCCTATAGACAGGTCATATAGGCTGGTCATATAAGAATGTGGTATAAGCAGGTTATATAGACAGATCATATAGGAAGGTCATATAGGCAGGTTATATAGGAAGGTTGTATAGGAAGGTCATATAGGCTGGTCATATAGGAAGGTGGTATAGGCTGGTCTTATAGGAAGGTCATATAGGCAGGTTATATAGGCAGATCATATAGGAAGGTTGTATAGGAAGGTCATATAGGCTGGTCATATAGGAAGGTGGTATAGGCTGGTCATATAGGCAGGTGACGGTCATATAGGCAGGTGACGGTCATATAGGCAGGTGACGGTCATATAGGAAGGACATATAGGCAGGTGACGGTCATATAGGAAGGACATATAGGCAGGTGACGGTCATATAGGAAGGACATATAGGCAGGTGACAGTCATATAGGAAGGACATATAGGCAGGTGACGGTTATATAGGCAGGTCACACTGCATCTAGTATACAAGTATTCAAGCAAGTTTATAAGCTTCAGACCATCAATCAATGTACAACTACAACATACTGTACTGACTTTACGATCAATTGTCATGCACTGTAAAATTAGCTGTTTAATTTTAGATCTAAACTCTCTAGTTTTCTTTGTGTCTTGTTATTTCATTTTTATACTTAACACCACTTCAAAAACCCACTTTAATTAAATGCACTCTAAACAACAGGTGACTGAAGTCAACCCATTCATTTTAGAGTATTAAAGCAAAGCTAAATATGACTTGGCAAACAAATAAAATCAATGATATTTCTGCCATATTGTTTTTGTAGAGAAAATTGGTTCTGTTCATTATTTGTTTGGACTAATTAACAGCTGGTCAACATAGAGACATATGTACAGACAGAATGACAAAAGAAATTTAGCTATGGTAAAAAGGTCATGAGCCTCTTTTAAGTTTGAGTGCATGAGAACTTTCAAAGTAGTAAATTAAATGACAACATCTTGTAAATGTATTCTTTTAATAACACTTTGGTATGGTATGTGCTACTCAACAGTTTTTATAGTGCAGAAAAACTTTAAAAACTTCAATGTCCATTAAAATTTCTTAAGCAGATCCATGGCATCAATGTCCTTGAATAACAATTATCTTCATAGGTGGACAATGTTTCGTGCCCTTAGTGCAATTACTGGTAACCTCCTTTTAAAATTTTGAAGGACTTCACCCTTTACTAAACTAAGGTGACTTATGTAGACAACTGGCACTCCTAAAATCTTAACTTTTTGAAAAATATCATTGAAATTCTACACACAAGCATATGGGTCATGCCCCCCCCCCCCCCCCCCCTTTTCAAAAAAAAAAAACAGAATAAAAGTGTAATGCCAATATGATAAATATTGAAGTGTAAAGAAAATCATGATCTTTGTTAAATTCATTTAAAATTATGTGAGGAAAAATAATGCTATACTGACCTGTAAAATTAACCTTTCCGTACAAGTCTTGAATCTGTGGAGCCATACCTAGCTTGAACAGGTATAAACTGAAATAAAATACAGAAATAATTTCAACTTTCCTTAAAAATGAATGTGTGTGCTGGACTTTATAAATTTTATAAAAAATAAAATATTGTCAAGTGAACAAAGATGTAATTAACACGTTTCATACGGCATGTTGAATCCAAGTAAATTACCAAATAAATGTCAAAATGTGCAAAAATAGCCCTTGCTGCTGCAAATCATGCAGAAGAAATATGGTGATAAATACAGCAAAAATCAATCATTCATTGCATATAACATGTAAATCATTACTTGAATTGTGAATATTTTTTTCTTTTCTTAAAATCTTAGTTCAATTTCCTCAGGATTAATTTTCTTGAAATATTTTGGCTCATCTGGAGGCTTTAAGGGGTTTTAACAAAATCAAACTTGAGCAACAAAGAGCATACTACAGTCAAACGCTTGGCAATACTGTGACCTTGACTTATCATACTGTAGCAGAGAACAACAATTTCAACAGTATGAATAAATCACATTATTGTGAAAAGAATCATGATCATTTATTTCCATATAGTATCATCTAGGTTAAAGGACACCAAATGTGAACAAGACAATGCTTCAAATATTTATGATCCAATTTTTCATTGATTCTCCTTTTTCAACAGTAAATAATTTAGCACATTAACTCCTTGAGGTGAGTGGTGATAATGTCCAGACTTGAGACAGTACTTTTCCAATACATAACTTTAGCATTTTGATATTGAAATCTCTTAAACTATTTTATGTACTTTTCCAAATGAAAAGAAAAACAAGTCAGAAGGGGAAAATGTTTTGAAAATTTCTGTTCAAAGTAAAAGGGAAAAAAATATGTATTAAGGGGAAAAAATGTATTGGGATAATGTAGGCCCTTTAAAAACAATTTGATAACAAACAAAAGCTTTTAAATATGTAAATTAAAAGAAAACCAAATCTTTGAAAGGGTTTCATGTTGATCATTTCCTTATTATCATCCCCCCTAGAATGACCATTTTATTTTCATCAGGGTTGTTTCTAACAAGGTTGTTTTTTGTTTCAAATTTGTGAAAATAACTCAGCCAGGCAGCATTTAAGATAAATTATATTATTACAAAATCTAGATGTAACACTTGCATGTAAGCCTGTAGCAAAGCTCAAAGTGAGAGATATTGTTAACCACTATTGTAATGGTATACAACTATGGGATAAGAACCAAAAATTCCATGAGAGAACTGGTCATTTTAGGGCTGAATGTCAGTATTATAACACTGATAATGGAAAAAGAGGGTTACTAAGTGTCTCAACTCAAAAATCTTATGTTTGATACTTGTCACCTATATTGAACTCTTCTAAAATTTTCTTCAGGTCATGTTAGACTCCAGTAGTAACACTGAATTCTACTGAAATTTAGTTCAGGTCATCTCAAAGAGTAGAAACTTCAGTAGTAACATGGTTGTGATAATCAACAAGTGATAATTATATCATCTCCCAGGGCAAGGAGATGCATTGTAGTGGCAAAGTTAACGACTTTTGCAAAGTTTTGACGCAAATTAATGTCAAATGTCACCATGTCTGGTTATATTCATTTGAAAGAATATTGACAGCAATTTGATTGCTCTTGTTTAACCCTTACCTAACTAATTGTCAAGGAATCGACCTACTTTGAACTTTGGTGATGATAATATCAATTTCAGGGATTTTGATAAAATATTAAGTAACTTAAGACAGCATGAATCGATAGGCTGGCCTGGGTCTAAATTGATGGCATAGTTAATTTATTATGACCACCACCAATCAGGGTTTAAACATCAGTGTGCAATAATATACTAGTATCAGCATTTGAATTTGTTTTGTTTTAAATCACACCAAAGGCAATTGATTTTCCAGCTGTGCCAATGGAAGAAGACCTCAGGTGCCGCCTTGTGTATTTCTTTTAACATAAGCATGCACCTGAGTAATCAGTCATTTAGTCATCATCAGATAACATATCCCCGCCAGATTTTGAGAGGAGTAACCAAATCCAGCCAGTTCTCCACATACAGGTGTCAACTGCTTTACATGACATGAAAGATTCAGCAGAGGAGGACAAATGTCCTTTATAAAATGTCGACAATCAGAACTGACAGAAAACAAAAGGCCGAAAGAAAATTCTGAACCTGTAGATCATTCTTTACCTAACATCACTGAACAAAACAACCTTGTTCTTACTGAAAATATTTCATCACAAAAGCCAAATAACTATTAAAAGCCATTCAAACATCTGCAGCAAACATTTCCGTTAAGTGCATTGATAAATGACTTTTCAAATCAATATGTTTTCCTATACTAACACATGGATAAAAGTAAATTCTGAATTAATTCTTTACTAAATACAATCTGAAATTGCCCATTGAAGCTGAGGGGATGACTTTAATGGTTGAGGCATAAGAAATGCAGCCACAGTTTATTCCTGCATGATCCTAATAGGCCACTAAATGGGTTCAAATGACTGGAGTCTAAGCATCTCTCAGCTCCAGCAGATGAGGTGGTTTTGACCCCTGGTGTTGCTTGTAACACCCGAGGTTAGCTAAAATCATCTTTTCTATTTCGGCACCCTATGAACAATACTGTGCTGGTGCGCCTTTAAACCCTAAAAAATGAACAATCTGAAATCATATATATACATATAATATGAAATCATCAATGCTCTGAGGTTTACAGACGTCGTACCTTAAAGCATGAAGGCAATATATTGTCCTCGGCATATTCTTTCTGTCATATATATCAGTTGTCTCAGGGTAAAATATCTGAAAAGAAAATCAACAATATACTAAATTAAAGTCAAAATCTCACCTTAACATTATCATATCTTTAAGTAGGATTAATTAAAAGTTAAATGTAATATGGTGTCATCTGAATTCAAATTTTACTGATGAACAAAGGACCAAGATGACCCTGAATGCACTATTTCTGACATTATTATTCATCTAGCTTGAAAGTATTACAAATTTTGAGAATTGACCTCAAAACTAGTGTAAGTCCATCTTTATTTCATATAAATTACTGCAGATTTGCAATCAACCCTGGTACTGTTAACATTAAATTTCTTCCAGTTCAGAAGGGATTACAAAAAAAAACCAACAGTTTTTTAGCTTTGAATGCATTTTCATTGGACTTTATAATGTTAATTTTTCTTATCATACAATTTTAATACATAAATGTAGCTGTATTTCTGTCTTTCAAAGTCAGAGAAACATTCTAACCCGCGGAAGTCCAACCTCTTCCATAGCCTGGAACCACTGGTTTAAGTTATCTGTGTGTCGGAAGTGAAGCCCTCTGGCCTGAAAAAGTTAAAATGATTCTCTATCATAAGCAATACAACAGTCTTAATAGAACAATAATAGTACATTTCATTATATCTCAACTTGTCATTCACCCGTTGAATGAGTCATCATCTACTTTCTCAGAAATATTTTATAATTCTAACATGGTATTCTATATTTCATGATAAATCAGACTTATGGTACTTTTAAGAGCATAATTAAACTTCATATGCATGATTGTTGAAAAGGAAACATGGACAAATCATTTGAATGATGTCAATTCGGTTACATCATCACTCAATGTAGTTCAAAATGTTTCAGAAATTCTTTTTTATGAACATTTTAAAATTGAAATGGATATCAATTTTTCATGCTTTATTGCAGCATGGTTAACTGTTGTAAAAACATTTATTTTCTGCTTGAGATTTAGTAAAATAATATCAGTCCAATTATCTTTGATGCACAAACTCGCTTAAATGTACCCATTTAATAATACTATGGAGAAATAAACTTGCAAAACTTACAGATTAAAAGCAAAAACTTTCTAAATTTTGATGAAAGCCTCTTGTCAGTCTTAAAACCTGGTAAATTTTCTCTAAATATACAAAATGATCTCTCTAGACATGCTATTTGTTCAAACATTTATTTGAATTGCTTTTCAGGCAGACTGGAACAATTTTCCATTAAAAGTAGCAGTCTCTTTGATTTAAGATAATGGTATTGTCACAAGTAAGACAGTCAAAAATACATAAATATACAGTAAAGTCTTTGATAATTTGTTTTCATTTTTCTCAATATTGTATAGTTGTATTGTTTTGTTTAGTTTTATTATGGTGCACAATTTAGGTTATATGGCGCCGAAACAGGAAAGATAACTTGTTTAAAAACTTGAGTCAAAACTACGTCCCCTAAAGGTTCCGCCCCTGTGAAGATGGGAACACCAGGGGTCAAAACTACGTCCCCTAAAGGTTCCCCCACTGTGAAGATGGCAACACCAGGAGTCAAAACTACGTTCCCTAAAGGTTCGCCACTGTGAAAGATGGTCTAATGGTAAATTATCCTGCACTAAAGGAAACATCCCATTATAGTGCCAAAACATAACCATCAACCATGCAATATTGGGGCAGGTCAAATGTAAAAACTTTGTTACTTTCTCCTCATTATTCATGTAATTCCACTAGGGTGGAAGTGCAGGTAGGATTTCAATTTACTGGTGTTAAGTTAACAATTTGCATCATCCCACTTCCTCCTTTGAATATACATACATGTATTACTTAATTGGGTATCAAAAACTAAACTGCAGTATGATAATAAGTACAGTATTACATTTATTCAATAAACAAACTATTTTAGACCTTTCATTCAATTATCTAACTGTTTAATATACACTAAAAGTTCCAAGACGTTTCATTGAACACTCACTAAAAGTTCAAGACCTTTAATTTCATATACTCTAAAAATTCAAGAACTAAAAAATTCATTCAATATACACTACAAAAGTTGGGGACCTTTCATTTAATGCACTAACTGTTAAAGACATTTCATTCAATACACTAACTTTTTCAATACACTAACTCGTGAAAACCTTTTCGCCGAATGCATAACATGAATCAAATATTTTACTTCATTGGGCCTTGACAATTACATCATGATTTCTCATCCCATGAAAGAAAATTACAGCAACAGAAAATTGTGGCAATGTTTATACTATGTGATAATTATATTCTCTTATCAGCCGATTCAACAGTATTTGTCAGTATATTGACCAGAAAATTGGAAAGTTTCAACAAAACATTTAGCCGGAAATTACAGAGCCAAGTTACTTCTTGATCTAATCTTATGCTGTCCGTCATTTCCTCTTTATAATATAATGAACTTGATCTGCATTGAATTTAGAACAGTTTATTGCCAGTTTAAGGGATTTCAAAATTAACCCGTTCCAGACTAAAATATCTTAAATAAACTTTTCCATCTTTCAATCTGGACAAAACAATTGACCACTTCCAGGGGAAAATGTCAAAATATGTACATGTACAGAATGAATAGGGAACATTGCAGACCATGATTAGATGGCATGGATTTGCCAAAGATCTTGGTCTGCACTGGTTGCAAGGGTAAAATAAGTGGCCGCAGTAAGCTAAGGATTTTAATCTTAAATTTACAGCAGTCGACAGCAGATGGCCTAATAAGGGTATACATGAATTATAATCACTGAAAGTACCCTAAATGGGCTTATCAGCTACTTAACTTTGACAAATAGATAAGCCATATATGGCAATTGTTTATGTTTATTTTGCTACATTTTAGTATATGAGTCACCAGTTTTTATTCAAACATGGAAAAGATTTATCATACACAAATTTGTCCTCACTAACTTGCTACATCTACATATAAAAACTGATTTGTTCTGCTTAAAAATTATGTAAATGTGCGAGATCTTATTCTAAAACTGGGGTTCCATCAGTACGAGGCCTGATCAGATAACAGACTGCACAGATTGGCTAGCTGTTCTGGCTCCCTTATGTAATGTTGGCACTGACAAGTCACAATCAATTTTAGCACTTTAATACAAGCAATTTTGACACATAGATAAGTTTTATTTACAAATGTAAATAAAGTCAACTGTTTACATTCATGTATTACACAGTATGATGCATGAGTCACCAGTTTTGATTTAAAAATGAAAAGAACATTTTCTTGTTTAAGAATCTTTAGTATTTGAAATTATTATTTATCCAATAGGATTGCAATATTTCAAATGAATCGTAACACACTGACTTCGGTTATTCAGCTCACTCATAATTGATCAGTCTTTAATTATAAAAATAATTTCAAACACTGAATTGGTTGACCAATTTAATTTTTGTAAAACACTAACCAATGTGAGGATTTCACCTTTACCATATTAAATATGTATCATGGACAGCCAGGAACTATTAATTGTTGACTTTAAAATATTAGAAAACATCAACAATCAGATATACAGTTTTATCCGCCTACATAGATGTACATGCCATCATAACTCTTTATTTCATGTGGCATTGATATGCAAGTCCTTATCGCTACAAACACACTCTTAAAAAAAAATCCTGCCAGCTGCCAAGTCACAAAGATATTAAAGCCTAATAAGGCAAATGTTTATGTTTATTTAGTATAGTATAGTTGATTATATGAGTCATCATGTTTTGATTGAAAGCAGAAGAATTTGGTTTCGTTACAAGAAGGATAGAATAATGTTGTGATGCAGAAATAATCATTTTTAGGCTGAACGACTTGACCTTAACTTTGATTTTGAAAACGCCAGATAAGTTTATTGTCTCCGAGGGATTTAAACAATAACAATAATGTTCGGCTGCTAATAAGATAATTAATAGCCCATCTCATCAGTTTGAATTCTTAGATTGTCGCTGTGATACAATTATTATTGCATTATTATTATTATTATTATTAACATAGTATGTTGATATATTTTACAGGCTTTAAAACACTGCTGGGTGATCAGCCTTTGCCCAGGCTGGCCTACACAGTGTGTCCAGACTCTTGACTGTTGCCTGACTTATCTTAAATTTTCTCATTGACTATAATTGACATCCCCAAAATTAATCATGGATAAGGTCCAAAAATGGAAGATGGACAAGTTCATAAAAAAAAGTCAGCAGGTAAAAGGTAAAAATTAAACCTTAGTAATATAAATGCACACAATTTTAACAATGCACTACACCATATGAACATACATGTATATATTTCAGAAAGATACAGTCATAAACAAACCTATTATGAAAGAGATGAAAGTATCTTTTGAAGTATGAAAAGAGCATTTTCAAAATTCTATTACACAATTATATTACCCTTATCATAAAATAAATCTTATTTATATCACAACAGAAACTTGCTTTTTTTATTTTCAATACCTTTAACAAATTATATTAAGATCTTAACATTTCATATTCATGTAATTATGCAAGCTTTTGAATCAATATCCTATATTTTCTATTACCTTTATAAATGCATATTTACATTGAGTGTTGAAAAGGAAGTTATTTTCACATCATTTTCTTTACATTTACATGACAAGGTATGTGTAAATGACCCAACACAAAATTTGTAAATAAGACCAAATTTTTCTTTTTAAGGTCAAGTAAGTTACTGATGGGATATTAATTGATTAATTGACAAGAAATATTTCATTTGCTTTAAATATTTGATTGATGGCTGTGTCATTTTGCAAATAAATATGCTCTGAAATTAGCCTTAAATGTCAGTTAGGGATATTTATTTATTTCTACAAACTTAAGAGTACCAAAGTTAAGGTAATAAGTTTTAATAACAAATTTAAGACCATAATACTGACCCATTGAATGGTTAAGTTTCTGGTGTTTCCTACCCATACAAACAGAAATATCACAAGCTGGTGGAAACAGTGTTATAACAGTAACCAGGAGCACTGCACACAGTGTTAATGCTTGTCTGTTAAGGGCAACAACTATCAATAACCAATCTTAATAAATATTAACAAGAGCACCGCTAGGCGGAGCATTATATGCCCGAAAGTACTTTTTCTTTAAGTAAGGATGAAGCATTTGTAAGACATGGGAATTAAATACAATATTACCTCCTTCAAAAAGCAATCCTCCTTTATAGCTGAAGAACATTCATGTTTATATACAGTTGCTGTTTTCAAAGCACCACCATCAAGTTGTTATATTGTAAGTAAAAATGCTACAACCGATGGACGAAAAGACGTCAGGGGTATAAAGCCTGTTAATCCTATAAAATTGTTGACTTAGAGTTATTGGCTGTTTCCATTTAAAGGTGATAGTAACCTTGATCTTTGACCTTGTGACCCCAAAATCAATAGGGGTCTTCTACCCAATATGGACAATCATCCTATGAAGTTTGAATACATTGTGGGCCAAATGGAACTTAAGTTATGCTCCGGCAACTGTTTTCAAGTATTAAGCTAATAGTGACCTTGTCCTTTGACCTTGTGACCCCAAAATCAATAGAGGTCTTCTACCCAATATGGACAATCATCCTATGAGTTTGAAAACTGTGGGCCAAATGGAACTTAAGTTATGCTCCAGAAACCATTTTCAGTTTTATGGTAATAGTGACCTTGACCTTTGACCTTGAGACCCCAAAATCAATAGGGGTCTTCTACCCAATATGGACAATCATCCTATGAAGTTTGAAAACTGTGGGCCAAATGGAACTTAAGTTATGCTCCAGAAACCATTTTCAGTTTTATGGTAATAGTGTCCTTGACCTTTGACCTTGTGACCCCAAAATCAATAGGGGTCTTCTACCCAATATGGACACTCATCCTATGAAGTTTGAAAACTGTGGGCCAAATGGAACTTAAGTTATGCTCCAGAAACCATTTTCAGTTTTACGGTAATAGTGACGTTGACCTTTGACCTTGTGACCCCAAAATCAATGGGGGTCTTCTACCCAATATGGACAATCATCCTATGAAGTTTGAAAACTGTAGGCCAAATGGAAACTTAAGTTAAATTGCTCCGGAAACAATTTTCAGTTTTTAGGGTAAATAGTGACCTTTGAACATTTGACCTTTGTGACCCCAAATCAATAGGGGTCTTCTACCCAATATGGGCAATCTCCTATGAAGTTTTTGAATACTGTGGGCCAAAAATGGAACTTTAGTTTATGCTCCGGAAACCAAAAATTGCGCTAACGGGACAGACGGATGCCAGGGGGTATAACATAAAAGGCGGAAAATTTCTTTCGGGGCATATACAGTAAAAAGAGACATTAAATTTTATAACCATTTTAAAATATTTAAATAATCAAGCTATATATTATGATTTTTGCATGAGATAACATCAAACAACAACCACAAAGCTGGCAGGCCATCATAATAGCTCGACTTTTTCTTAAAAAACAGAAAAGGTTAAAAAAATGTTTTTTTTCTCAAAAAATTCTTTTTTTTTTTGTCTTACAAAATTTTAAATTATGATAAATATATAAAAATTTACACATAACTCAATTTTAAAAAAAGGGAATAGGTTTTGTGCAAGTAACCTTATGCACCAGATTATTGTGGGCCCCGAAAAAATAACCCCTTGCCCTTGGGTTTAAAAATTAAAAACATTTTCCTAAAGGGAAGAAAATTTTTTCAATGACTCAAAAGGTAGTAGGTTTAGGGTCTTTAAATTTTTCTTCCCAAAATTCAAAAACCCCGGTTTTCTCAAATTTAATATAAAGGGGGCAAATGGGAAAAACATTTTCCACCAAATCAGACAGTAATTTATTTGATAAAACCCCTTTTTAGAACCCGGGAAAAATTATTTTCGGATAAATGTGCCCGGATATAAAAAAAACCTGCCCCAATTTCCTGCCATTCCAATATTTCATATAAACAGGCTGATAATTTCCTCTAGATGTAAATGATAGGATATGAAACAGTAATAATTCTATAAAACGGCCATTCCAGAAAATAAATAAACATGTGCTAAATTTGCATAACCAACTGCCAATAATCATTGCTTATTGAAAGGGTTTCATTATAAACATTCTTATTTGCACCCTATCTGCACAGACAATTCAAAGCAGTGAATAATCATAAGTCCGGTCCTGTAACATTGGTGTACATGCTGACCTAAGTCTATAAACTGGTAGTAAGTATAGTCCTATCGCATACATGTAGGTGTAGAGACTGGCCTAAGTCTATAGTAAGTTTTATAATAATTGCTGATGGTGTTCATTACCAGTAGCCTTGATCCACAATTTCAGACAGCATAAAAAAACTTCTTTTTTTTGAAGTTCTGTTTCTGATGGCATGCCATGGGGGATAAGAGGCATATTCTGCCAATGGGAATGTGATTACAAGATACATCTAAAGAAAACAATTGTGCAATATCTAAAATGCCTTACTTCTGTGAGGATGACCTTGAAATATTTTTTTCATTTTCAAGAAAATGCTGAAAATGCACTACCATAAAAAGATGCAACTTTTAAGCATGTATTTATAACCTGCATGACAATGTAGCTTTTACATAATAGCATTAAAAAGAATAATGAGAAATGGCAGCTCTATGCCGGCAATGTTCTTATTTTATGTCTCCGGGGACACTGAAAGGTTACATGAAAGCAAAAGGAAAGAACAATACTATGTAAAAGAAATACTGTCAGGGCTTATTTTGACAGATTCGGTTCAAAATATATTTGATTGCCAATGTGTGTCTGTGTATGTGAATGAAAGAGCTTTAATAAAGATTGACTGCTGTTCACTTATTTCCTTACTTCTTTTTTTTTATTATAAAGCTTTCATGTACAGAGAATTTTCTATTGAAGTATGTAGAGAAATTATTGCTCCTTACACAAATTCTTTAGGGAAATAGTATATATTAGTAAATATATATATATTTCATGATCTTTCTCAGTCTAAGCAATAAAGACAAAGAAAATTATCCAATTTTGTTATTAAAAGAACTGATAAGAATCTTATTTATCTTATCATTTCATATTGAATAACAATCAATCTACAGAATATCACACTTCTGTCCTAGATTATAGACACTTTAGGTAAACCATGGTCTGGTATCTATAGCAACAGACTTTTGTTTATTTTGGACAGTTTCTCCATTGATTAGACTGTCATTGCCTTCTGCTGTCTAATTTGTCTCCAACCTAATTCATGTAACATCAGACAGATCACATAAAGATTATCATTTCCAGTCATTTGGGTTCTTTTACACAACAATTTAGGTTCTTTTACACAACAATTTGGGTTCCTTTAATTACTGAATACTTTTGGATATTTTGCAAGAGTATTAAGGATTGTTTTATAGCATTGGTGTATCTATTACTTGAAAACATAATCAAATTAAGGAAGCACAATTACTGTCTAGTGGCAGATTTTTACCAGTTACTTAAACTGAGGTTTGATGAAAAGACCATTATTGCTTTTTTTGGACTGAAATAACCCAATGAAAACCCGGCAAAAAATTTTTAAATTTTTACAAAAATTTTTTTGTATTTCAATAAAACAAATTTTAAAAAAAAAACTAAAACCCCAAATTTTCTTAAATTTTTGTAAAAAAATTGGTTTTGGCTAAATGATACCCCAAAACCAGAATAAAAAGATCATGCAGCTGTTTGCAATGGACGTTGATATTTTAAAAACAGGTAATTTTTGTTCTAAATTTTCCCCCCAATTTTGGACTATTCACCCTTATTCTACAAAATCAATATTTACCTTTAAACTTTTCTATTTTGTCATAAATCCCTTTTAAGAGGGACTTTGTTGGGGGCCATGAAGTGAGCAAGTTTTCCCAGGTAAACTCCATTACGTAATGCCTCCTCCAGCTCTGTTGTGGGAGGTAACTCTTCATTAATGCAAGCTTGTATCCATCTGAAATTATAGAAATGCACCTTTAAAGTTTTAAACAACTTCTTCTCTTAGGTAAATGCATGATTTTCAAGTCTTAAACATTTGATTTTATACCAAGTTTGATGAATAAAAGGAGGTCATTGAAAAAGGTTGGTGATTCTTCCAAAAACAAGCAATTTTAAACCAAAACAAGCCACTTTATACCTATATTCTACATACTTTGCTCGTTTCTGAAATATTCATTTGCGAAGTACTAACATCGCTTTATCACAGTGGAACAAACAGCTTTCTCTAAAATATATAATGATCTTATATGATTACCCTTGTGACAATACTTTTATTCAATTTTGAAATAATCTGTAAAAGCTGAGTACTTAGAACAATAATTCACTTACAATTCTACTGATAGATACAACTCTCTGAAAAAAATTGTTCTGAGAATTGGCATAAAAAATAATAGTCACCACATTCATAAACAAATTTAAAGACTGGAAACACTTATGATTTGCCTATGCCATCACCAGCATATCACCTGGACAACCTACACATTAATTCTGTCTGACCAACCTTACTTTAATATTTTAAATGGTTTTCTCCATCTTTTAATCTTTATTATATCATTCATCATTTTAGTGAAAATTTCAAAATAACCTTTCTCTTATAGAGGAAAATAATAAATATCAACATAACTTTTGAAAGTATGCCCAAATTTCAACATAACTTTTGAAAGTATGCCCAAATATCAACATAACTTTTGAAAGTATGCCCATATATCAACATAACTTTGAAAGTATGCCCATATATCAACATAACTTTGAAAGTATGCCCAAATATCAACATAACTTTGAAAGTATGCCCAAATATCAACATAACTTTGAAAGTATGCCCATATATCAACATAACTTTGAAAGTATGCCCAAATATCAACATAACTTTGAAAGTATGCCCAAATATCAACATAACTTTTGAAAGTATGCCCAAATATCAACATAACTTTTGAAAGTATGCCCAAATTTCAACATAACTTTTGAAAGTATGCCCAAATATCAACATAACTTTTGAAAGTATGCCCAAATTTCAACATAACTTTGAAAGTATGCCCAAATTTCAACATAACTTTTGAAAGTATGCCCAAATTTCAACATAGCTTTTGAAAGTATGCCCAAATTTCAACATAACTTTGAAAGTATGCCCAAATTTCAACATAACTTTTGAAAGTATGCCCAAATTTCAACATAACTTTTGAAAGTATGCCCAAATTTCAACATAACTTTTGAAAGTATGCCCAAATATCAACATAACTTTTGAAAGTATGCCCAAATTTCAACATAACTTTTGAAAGTAAGCCCAAATATCAACATAACTTTTGAAAGTATGCCCAAATATCAACATAACTTTTGAAAGTATGCCCAAATTTCAACATAACTTTGAAAGTATGCCCAAATATCAACATAACTTTTAAAGTATGCCCAAATTTCAACATAACTTTTGAAAGTATGCCCAAATATCAACATAACTTTTGAAAGTATGCCCAAATATCAACATAACTTTTGAAAGTATGCCCAAATATCAACATAACTTTTGAAAGTATGCCCAAATTTCAACATAACTTTTGAAAGTAAGCCCAAATATCAACATAACTTTGAAAGTATGCCCAAATTTCAACATAACTTTGAAAGTAAGCCCAAATATCAACATAACTTTGAAAGTATGCCCAAATTTCAACATAACTTTGAAAGTATGCCCAAATATCAACATAACTTTTGAAAGTATGCCCAAATTTCAACATAACTTTTGAAAGTATGCCCAAATATCAACATAACTTTTGAAAGTATGCCCAAATATCAACATAACTTTTGAAAGTATGCCCAAATTTCAACATAACTTTGAAAGTATGCCCAAATATCAACATAACTTTTGAAAGTATGCCCAAATATCAACATAACTTTTGAAAGTATGCCCAAATTTCAACATAACTTTGAAAGTATGCCCAAATATCAACATAACTTTGAAAGTATGCCCATATATCAACATAACTTTGAAAGTATGCCCATATATCAACATAACTTTGAAAGTATGCCCAAATATCAACATAATTTCGAAGGTATATCTCTTTAAGGTGATAGTTTTAAGGCCTTGCAAGACATTTAACTAGGTATATATATAATATTTACTATTTTTACTATTTACCAAGGTATGTATCATAGATAATGTTACTGTGAAACATTTTAAATTTTATCTTGGCCTTAAAACAGCAATATGAATGTCCACAGCCCAGTAAAAAATAACTTAAGTTAATAATATTATAATATGCAGCAACGATACAATTAAAATACAATAAACAATATAAAATCATACACAGCATGTTACATCGTAAAATGCATATACTTTAAACTGTATAACTACACATTGTCACAGTTCACCTCCTCCCTCAAGTTATTTAATTATTTATAGAGGTAAAGTAATTACTTTGTAATGTTATGCACGCATATATACATATATAATTTAATATACACACCTATATTACTGAAGTGTGAGAATTGAATGTACTTCTTTTACACAATTTTAATATTACAGTTTTACAATGAATACATTTTTTTTTTTTGCTCTTACTTTAATTAACATTACATTGTATAACATAATGGAAGGGAACTGTGGTAGAATAATGATCAACTGGATAGCCATGCCCACTGCCCAGCACTTCAAGGTGCAAGCGGCAATAATGAGTTACCTATACAAGACTGCCAACCTGCACATCCCATGCCAAACACACTACTGTTGGTAAATCAATATTTTACATTTCATTATATTTACATCTCTTAAAGTCAAAATGGATGGTTCCAAATTTATAGTACAGCAAATGCATCAAGTGGCTGACATCTGAAACATTGCTGGCTGCAGGAGTTCAAATCCTAACAACAGCAAGCCTATGTTTCCATGAACAAGAAAATCTACACTTTCTGATCAGTAATGTTTAGTTCCAGGAAAGGATTCAAGAGTGTTTCCATAAGTTTATAGCCTCAAACTCAAAGTAAAATAAATTTGTATAAACTAAATACACCATTTCTAAAGTCTATATGAAGAGCAATGAACTTTCAACATCAATAAATATAAATAAAACCATGTAACCATACATTCGCTTCTTGTGAATATTAATTTTATGACTTTTGTAATAATATATATTGATATACAGTGTATATGTGCATTTACTTAACATCTTAAATGTTTGAGACTCTTCTGTTAACACTCCAAAGTAAATTCAATTTTCAATTTGACAACAGTGAAGTCATAAAACATAATAAAGAATATTAAATTCTAGTGGAATTAAACAGCAAGTGACATGTTAATGGCCATTTTAAACTTCCAGCAAGAAGAGTTTCTTATTGTACCAGTACTCAAAATTTATTAAAATAATTGTAAGACATACATAGATAAAAAATTTTTGATGCAAAACAGCCACACCCATTGCAATTAGGCAACAAAGAAAGACAATGCTGCACCAAAACCAACCCAGAAATGTCTAAATTTTATAATATCTACCAATTTAAAATTTACTTCATAAAAGACACATCAAACTGCTGTTGGCTAAGTGTTAATGCACCAGTTAATTGTGTATTACACAGCCCAACTCCCCCTCCCACCACCCTCCCCTTCTCTTGACCCGAAACCAATGGTAAAACCCAAGCCCTGTGAGGGAAGACAAATGGTAAAATCCACGCTACTAAGTACCCTAAACTAAAAAGTTCATTAAGTTATTTCCCAATTTTGGTGGCAGTGTCCATTATGTTGGGGAAAATGAAATGTTGTTAGCATCATTAAGTTACATGCTGGTTTAATTATGACAATATAGACAAAAAGTTGTTGTTTTTTTCGGTAATTTTTATCTACAGCTTTATCTTATTAAAAAAATAATTATACTTAACAAACAACAAAATTGATGACTCATACAGTGAACATTGTTTTCTACATAATTAACTAAAAGCTTTATTTTCATTTAAATCTATTTTGGAAAAATGATTCATTACATACATAATGTATGTATCATAGAAAAAATTGGTTTCTATTTATAGCTTTAATACATTTAGAAATTTCTAAATATATACAAAGGTCTATAAAATAGCCAACAATGATCTATCAGGCCCACCCCTTTACTTGTTTTATGTATTTGTTACTAATACTGACCTTAGATCACAAAAATATAATGAATGTGAATGATTTATTGACCTCAGTCAACTGTTATGTGTCCATATGGCTTGTCAATCTATAACGTGCAAGCAATCAATACACGCAGATCATGAGGTGTACAGTTTTCAAAAAACAAAAGTATCAATTACCAACATCATAAACATCATAATGTCATGTAAACACATTGTCGTTTGCATCCTTTAAAATTGCCAATAGCATACACAAAGATTGTCATTGGCATACACAAAGATTGTCATTGGCATACACAAAGATTGTTATTGTTGTTCACAAAGATTGTCATTGGCTTACACAAATATTGTTATTGTTGTTCACAAAGATTGTCATTGGCATACACAAAGATTGTTATTGGTGTTCACAAAGGTTGTCATTGGCATACACAAAGATTGTCATTGTTGTTCACAAAGATTGTCATTGGCATACACAAAGATTGTTATTGGCATTCACAAAGATTGTCATTGGCTTACACAAATATTGTTATTGGTGTTCACAAAGGTTGTCATTGGCTTACACAAAGATTGTTATTGTTTGTTCACAAAGATTGTCATTGGCTTACACAAAGATTGTTATTGTTTGTTCACAAAGATTGTCATTGGCTTACACAAAGATTGTTATTGTTTGTTCACAAAGATTGTCATTGGCTTACACAAAGATTGTTATTGTTGTTCACAAAGGTTGTCATTGGCTTACACAAAGATTGTTATTGTTTGTTCACAAAGATTGTCATTGGCTTACACAAAGATTGTTATTGTTTGTTCACAAAGATTGTCATTGGCTTACACAAAGATTGTTATTGTTTGTTCACAAAGATTGTCATT